ATAACCTTGGTCGCCTAGAAAATTTAAAAGTGTAGCAGTATCTGCAAGGGAGCACTCCTAGGAAGGACTACATAGTAATAAGTCATCGACATACTGCAATAGTGTGCTGTGGGTCAGGGGACAGAGGACAATATCCTGTGCCAGTGCCTGTCTGAAAAAATGGGGGCTATCACGGAACCTTTAAGGCAAAACAGTCCAAGTCAGCTGGGAAGAAATATGAGTGTCTTGACCTTCTAATGTAAAAGCAAACAGAAAGTGGCAGTCTGGGTGTAGAGGGATGGTAAAGAAGGCATCCTTCAGGTCAAGGAGAGTGAAATGGGTGGTGTCAGGGGGAACACGTGAGAGGAGTGTATACAGATTAGGAACAACTGGGAAAGTAGGGACTACTGCCTCATTGATGAAGCGTAGGTCCTGTACGAGATGACAGGCCCCAGAGCTTTTCTGTATAGGTAGGATAGGAGTATTGCATGGTGAGTTGGCGGGAACCAGAATGTGCTGTCGGAGCAGGCGTGTAATGATAGGTTTTAATCCCTGTCGATGTTCAAGGGAGATAGGGAACTGGGGTCTAGAGGGAAACTTGGAATGGTCTTTTAGCCGGATGCGGACCGGAGTATGGTGCTGCGCAATGATGGGGATGGAGGTGTCCCACACCTTAGGGTTAATGGGGACTGGAAACGGGAGTGGGGGGTCAGCCTGGCGGGGTTTGTCAGTTGAGAGAAGGGGGAAGAGGAACGCAAGGTGTGGGGAGGGGTTGGGTCGGAAGTGAACTGAGGCCCCTAGCTTGGAGAGGAGATCTCTTCCTAACAGGGGGACTGGGCACGAAGAAATGATAAGAAATGAGTGCGAGAAGAGGGAACCATCCAAGCGGCAAGACAGAGGAGGAGTCTGGCGGTAGGTGGAGGGAGTGCCATCAATTCTCATGACTGTGACAGTGGAGGAGTGGCTGGGGCCACTAAAAGAAGGCAAAACAGAGTAGGTAGCCTCTGTGTCCATGAGGAAAGATATGGACTCACCCACTACCTGGAGCATAACCCTGGGCTTGGCGAGAGTAAGAGGGGTTCCCGAGTCTGGGCCTCTTCAATCTTCGTTGGTGTCGAGGAGCTGGAAGGTGCCTCCAATACCTGGAGGAGGGTCGTCACGTGGAGGCGCAGCGACCGTCCTTAGGTTGGGGCAGTTTGACTTCCAGTGGCCCATCTGCCAACAGTTTGGACAGGGGCGAGTTGGCTCCTTTGGGTTAGGGCACTGCCTGGCCCAGTGGCCGTCGTTGCTGCATTTGAAGCAGGTACCAGGTGGCGCTCGGGTAGTACCTCTTTTCTGGGAGCTCCTGGAGCCGGCCAGCCTCAGGGCTGCTACCACGGCCTGGGTTTGGAGTTGTACCTTCTGTTTCAGCCTGGCCTGTTGTTGGGCCTCAGCTGCTTCCTCCCTGGAGTTGTAGACCTTGAAGGCCAGTTTGACTAAATCCTGGATGGGAGTTTGAGGGCCGTCCTCCGCCTTTTTTTAACATTTTTTGGATATCGGGGGCCGACTGAGAAATAAAGTATGAAGCTAAGATGGCTCCTCCTGCAGGGGAGGCAGGGTCAAGGCGGGTGTACTGAATAAGTGACTGTCAGTTGGTTAAGAAAAATAGCCGGATTTTCATCTGAGCCTTGGACTACCTCCTTTAAGTTATTAAAATTGACTGACTTATTGGAGGCTGCCTGCATGCCAGCAAGAAGGCACTGGACCATCATATCTCGGCGGCGGCGGCCTGCCTGACCAACCTGCTAGTCCTAGTTGAGCTCGGCTGAGGGCACCACCTCAGTGCCAACTGGCATGGCGTGGTCAGTTAAATGAACCTGGTCAGCGTGCTGCCTGGCTGCCGCTAGGACACGCTCCTGTTCCTCAGGGCACAGGGTTGAGGTCATAACGACATGGGGATCATGCCAGGTGAGGTCCTACGCCTGGCACAGGTATCGCAACTTTTTGAAATACTGAGTGGGGTTGGCCAAGAAAGAGCCTACACGCTCTTCAATCTTAGACAGGTCTGCCAGCGAAAACAGCACATGGACTCGGACCATTCCTTCGGCGCCTGCCACCTCTCGCAAGGGACACAGGAGGTCGGTCCTGGACCGAGTACGGGCTGAGACAGGCGAAGAAGGGGAGGAGGTGGAGGTAGGGGAGACAGAATCTGTCAGGTTTGGTGAGGGCACAGGAGGGTGGAAGGGAGGGGAGGTGGTGACAAGGACGGAGATAATGGCGGGTCAGGGTAAGGAGAAGGTTGGGTGGGAGACCAAAGGGGTGGCCGGGATAGGGTGTCAGGAGGCTCAGAAAAAGAGGAGGAATCATCCCTCTCCTTGCTCGAGGGAAGAGACTTTGCGAGTAGGACCTGAGCTAATGAGCATTGAGCGCAGAGATCTGGGCGAGAACGCAAGTCCCAAAAGGCTTGAACATAGGCTATCTCGTGCCATTTGCCTAGTCTCTTGCAGAAGTTGGTCAGATCCGTAAGGATGTTAAAGTCTAGAGTGCCTTCTGCAGGCCACTGAGACTGATTATCCAATTTATACTGAGGTCATGCTACTGTGTAGAAGAAAATGAGCCGCTTTTGTTTTAGGTCTTGGCTGAGACTTAAAGTCTGGAAATTAGCCAAGTGGCACCTCAGAGGGGATTTTCGGTTTGGTTTGGACTGAGTAGTTCCCATGGTCCTAAGGCGGGCAGTCTGGTGGCAATGGGAGCATCCTCTCACTGTCATGCGGAGTGCGGGGTACGGCAGCTTCCGGGGAGGTTGGAAGTCTCCTAGTCCCCAGTGCCAAGGTCACAGTTGACTGGAGGGAGCCCCTGACGTGGTCATGAGTTTCGGACAGGGACTTCCCAGAGGGGGTCTACAGGACAGGGGAAAACTTACCCAGCAGTGATTGAATTGAGTCTTGGATTTGGTGAAACGGCTCCCGGCTCAGAAAGAAGGTCCTGGCTCTGGGAGAGGAGAGCCTGCCCGACCCGGGAAGAGTCCGGGGGAGGGGTCTCCTCCTGGGTTTCGGCACCAAATGTAAAGGTAAACTGAGGCTGGAGCCGAACCGGAAACGAAGACACAAGGCAAATGGCAGTGAGAATAGCCTTTATTAGGACTTGCGAGCGAGGTTCCTCGGTCCAAAGGTGCGGGCCGAGGAAGTCGCACTGAGGGAGGACGGTAGGGGCTTTTTATAGCCCGGGAGGTAGGGAAGCTGGTTGTGCAAACAGGGCTTGGGGGGTCCTGAAACTACTAGGGCAGGAGTTGAGTAAGGGACATGAGGAAGGGGTCTTTGGAAACTGTCAACCGAAACTGCTGTTTACGAACTTGTGGAATGCAGGTGAGCTGCAGGTCATGGGGGAGTGTGGTTGCCCAGCCAGAACTCTGACATATGTAAGTCTGCGGGTGTGTACAAGGGTGAAGGGAGTCTTTAACAAAAGGCCTGCTATGCCGGGTAACGCCGCCATGTTGGGTCTAGATTCCTGCCTAACATCCACCTTGTTCTGTATTTGAGATGCTGTTAATCTGTGACCCTACCCCCAACCTTGTCCTTGCAAGAGACATGTGCTGTGGTGACTCAAGGTTTAAAGGATTCTGGGCTGTGCAGGGTGTGCTTTGTTAAAGAAGTGCCTGAAGGCAGCTTACTGGTTAAAAGCCATCACCATTCTCTTAATCTCAAGTACCCAGGGACACTTACACTGCCAAAGGTCGCAGGGACCTCTGCCTATGAAAGCTAGGTATTGTCCAAGGTTTCTCCCCATGTGATAGTCTGAAATATGGCCCCATGGGAAGGGAAAAACCTGATCGTCCCCCAGCCTGACACCCGTGAAAGGTCTGTGCTGAGGAGGACTAGTGTAAGAAGAAAGAAGGCCTCTTGGCAGTTGAGATAGAGAAAAGCAGAATGGAACATCTCGGTGTAAAGCCCAGTTGTTGTTGTTTACTGAGAAAGGAGAAAACCGCCTTAGGGCAAAAGGTGGGACTTCCTAGCAATGCTGCTCTTTATGCACTAAAAAGGTTTATGGAGATGTCTGCATATGCATATCAAGGCACAGCACTCTTCCTTAAACTAATATCACAGAGATCTTTATTCACATGTCTTACTGCTGACCTTCTCCTATGATGATCCTATTATCCTGTCACTTCCCTTTTTCTAAGACGGTAAGGATAATTATCAATAAATACTAAGGGAACTCAGAGACCGGTGCCAGCTTAGGTCCTCTGAATGCTCAGCGCGGGTCCCCTGGGCCCACCTTTTCTTTCTCTATACCTTGTCTCTGTGTCTCATTTCTTTTCTCAAGTCTCTGGTTCCACCTAAAGAGAAACGCCCACAGATGTGGAGGGGCAGGCCACTCCTTCAAAGAGGTTGTCAGGCAGTCAGGCAGCAGGTCATTATTAAGACCGATAACTTCAAGTATCGATTAAATCCATCATTTTGGAACTGTGAAATGTGTAAAGTGATCAGCTACAAAGGGCCAAATATAGAATTCTGAAGATACAGAATGTGGTGGCTTGGCTGCTGCAACAGGCAAAGCAGCAGCCTGGGTTTCTCCGGCCCGTCACTCGAACCCACCGGCTCATCACCGCAAGGTGCGGCCAGATGCCCTTTATCTTACCTTGGGAGCGAATCTCGGCTCACACAACCGGGCCACCGGCTCCCACCGCGCTGGCACCCCTCTGGCAGCGAGGGTTCGTCCCAGTGCGGGTGACGCCCGGAAAGGAGCCAGTCCCAACAGCGCAGGAGGCTGAGGGGTCCCTCTATCAGGATTCGCTCACCTGCTTCCAGGTGTGTCGCCTAACAGCGGCTCCCGTTCACCTTCGATCTGCAGATCCGCCATAGTTACAGTCCCTACAAGGCGTCTTTCGCCCAACTCTCGCGACACCTGCTTTCTCACATTCTGGGTGGCGTGAAGCTGGCAAAACAAGCCTGCAAGTGCGCGTGCGCACCTGACGGTCAGACGAGAGCGGAACGCCCCGAGGTCATAGGCGGGGTCACGCGGAAGGCCAGACCGCGCAGGGTGAAAGGAGGCAGCAGGGCGAGGGCGCCTCCTCCCTCAGTAGGCGCTTCCCATTCTGAGGGGGAGGAAGAACCGAGGCGAGCTCGGGGCGTGTCCAAACTGCCGCCCCGCCCCGCTCCGCCCCGCGCTGGTCTTCGTCTCTCCGCTTCGCCTTCCGTTTGGATTCCTGGAAAGGTTACCCGACCTGCGGTTGGGGCTCGGACCAAAGTCGAGTCCTCGAAAGGGAGCCTGGAGAGCGGCGGTGCTGGGAGGCCCGGCCAGCTGGATCGCAGGCTTCTGCCTGACGGCCGGTAGGTAGCCGGCTGGGTTAAGTAGCAGGCGCGCTAAGAGCTCCCCGCGCCAGTTAGCGCGTCGTGTACGTGCCAGGAGGCAGGGACCTGGGACGCGGAGCTAGGCGGGAGACTCGCGGGTCAGGGACGCGGGGTGAGGCAGGGGCGAGAGACAAGGCTGGAGCCCGCGGCGCGCTCCGGAGGGCCGAGGTGATGGGGGCGAGAGGGTGGGCAGTCCCTTCCCCCCCGTGAAAGGTAGAGCTGGCTTCCAGCTCTCTTCTCTAGGTCGGCTAAATGCAAAGGCGCATTACCTGGAGGGCTTGTCAAAGCCAGTACTGAAGGTGGGATCCGCTGCTTGTAAACTGCAGGTTGCCGGATGCGCACCCCAACAGCGGCTGCGCCTACGGGGCCCTGAGCCTTGCAAAATCTCACTCAGAAGAGCCTGCTGCTGAAACGTGGGAGTTGAAAAAGGCACAGCACCTGCCTAGCAATGACCGGCTCCTTTCGTCACAAGGAAGATGACATTTTTAGAAAACATGTCATGGGTTTTCACGAGATCGCCATGTTTATTTCCTGGTAGTTATGTATTAACATCTTATCTTTACTATTAGGCTTGTAGGCTCGCTGGTGTCAGTAGTCATTCTGTGTCTCATAAATTACCGTTTTATTAGCGCCAGATACATTGTCATGTAATTTCATTTGATCACAACTATCCTATGAGATAGGCAAAGCAGACACATTTCTATTTTACCGAAAATTAAGATCCAGACAAGTTAAACCTAGAGTCACTCGGTGTGGAAGTGGCAAAGTTGGAAACCAAACTTAATTTTTTAAATTAATATTTATGAGCATTTACCCAATGCTAGGTCCTATACTAGTTACACAGTCGTGTATGATATATGACATCACTTCTGATCTTTGTGTCATTTTTGACCTTGTGTGTATCAACCAGGCACGGTCAACTGGTGAACACCTAAACTTGAAACGTGCAGGCCCGGTGCGGTGGCTCACGCCTGTAATCCCAGCACTTTGGGAGGCCGAGGCGGGCGGATCATGAGGTCAGGAGATCGAGACCATCCTGGCTAACACGGTGAAACCCCGACTCTACTAAAAATACACCAAAAAAAAGAAAATTAGCCGGGCTTGGTGGCACGCACCTGTAGTCCCAGCTACTCAGGAGGCTGAGGCAGGAGAATCCCTTGAACCTAGGAGGCTGAGGCTGCAGTGAGCCAAGATCGTGCCACTGCACTCCAGCCTGGGCAAGAGAGCGAGACTCTGTCTCAAAAATAAATAAATAAATAAAAACCTTGAAACGTACTATTCAGAAATACCATCTAAATCAAGACCTATTTGCACTTGGATTCAGTCTTATAGATTCATTTGTAACAGTTCACAAAAACAAGTCAGATTTGTATTATTGGTTCCAAGAAGATACATAGGTAGAAAAGTTAGTATTTTCTTTCCATAATGTCGCTTTACTATATTGTCTATATTGTCTTTTTTAATTCCTGGGGGCTAGCAATGTATGGCACATATATAGTGGACAAGGGGATTTTTAACCAGTATAGCAGTAGGCAGAATGGTTCCTAGATAAATATACGTTGGATGAATGCTCATTGAATTACCTCATCTAATCCTTACAACAATCCTCTGAGGTGGGAATTGTCTCATGTATACAAGGAAATGGAAGGCAGGGAGATTAAGTAACTTGCCTACAATCATACAGCTAACAAGCAACAGAGCTAGAATTCAAGAAATGCAGGACTCCTGGTTCTAAAACCTGTGCACTTTACCACCAGGCTTCTTATGGGAAAAAAATGGCAAAGCAGCAAGCAGGATCTTTCCTCGTATCTCATAAAAATATATAGTAGATATTCAGTTTTTATATAAGTGAAATAATTGGCTATCATGTATCAGGGCAGATATTACTTTCTGTTTATAGGTTAAAGTGGCTTACTCAAGGTCATACAGCTAGTAGAGGAATCCCAGTCCTCTGACACTGCTCTTTTCCATTGGTGCCTCCAAGTGATGACTTCAGACCACAAAAGCACATGGGATGAGTACATATACAGCTGGTGAAATCTAAGTAAGCTTAGTGTATTGTACCAGTAGGGAAAAAAAAAAAAAGAAAAAATGTTTCTTAGGAACACATAGCATCCAAACAAAGTAAACATTTAAACATATATGTGTGTATGTGTATATATATATATGTTTGTTTTTTTTTTAATAAAGCCCATGGAAAAGAGGAGCTAAATTTGAAGAGATTAGATTATTTCTTATTTCTTGAATGTTTCACACGAGAATATGAGACAGTCCAGTTGGTGGATTTCCTTAGGTGACTGCTCAGGATAGTTACCCACACCCGTTTCAAACAAACAAACAAGCTTCCTATTTTCTTACTCTTGTTCAGTGTAAGATTAAAAGGAATTATATTTGTTGAATTATATTTGTGAAGCTAGGGAAGTAGATTTTATCAGTGGATATCTGAGGTATCTAAACCCTTTCTTAGCTGCTTAAACTTCTATAGACATTATTTAGAAGTGAAGTTACAAGATAAAACTTGAAGGCTCTTTTTTTTTAGGTAAGGGAATAAGTTCTTGTACATGGTGATATTTTTTTAATTTTCATTTATGCCTTTGAGATATATATCACCAATGTAAAGATAAAAGTCCAGAAAAAAATTAGTATTGCATTGTTAAATACTTAGATACCAGATTGACAGGAAATAAAAGTAGTAGATAGCATAATAAATGATGAGTGTCACTTTAGCAACTCATTTCTAGGGAAGACTTTTTAGTTCTTGGTACTGTACTAGAACTCCTATTTTTATTTCCATTTGCTTTTCCCTGTCACATTGATAATTGGGTCATTTTGGCTTGATATATACTTCAAAAATGGATTCTATTTCTGCAGAAGCTCGTTGTCTGTCCAGCCTGAAGCAGGGACTTTTAAGTATCTGGCATGGCTCCAGATGGTGCCTCATTTTGGTAATTTATAGTTATGTTCACCCTGGGCTTGGATTTTTATCTGTTCATGTTGGCACTGAATACCCTGGACCCAGCCAACCCTGTCTAGAAAAACTTAAGTGTTTAGAGAGTTCCACAAAACCTGTCTTTTATGTTGTTCTTGGAGCTGAAATGGAATTTAAGAAGATTTGTGTAATCCCACACCCCAGAACCAAAGTTATACTAACCTGTATGTGTGTTTGATTTACTTTCTGTTCCTCATTTATTAGTTGTTTATTAGTAGGTAAATATAGTAAGGAATATGCTGTGTCTAAGTTTGGAGTGCTGACTTTTGTGGCCTATTATGCAGGGAATTAAAGTGATTTGGGAAGGTTTTCTTTTTTTTTTTTTCTTTTTGAGACGGACTTTTGCTCTCGTCGCCCAGGCTGGAGTGCAATGGTGCGATATCAGCTCACTGCAGCCTCTGCCTCCTGGGATCAAGGGATTCTCCTACCTCAGTCTTCCAAGTAGCTGGGATTACAGGTGCCCACCACCACACCTGGCTAATTTTGTATTTTTAGTAGAGACGGGGTTTCTCCATGTTGGTCAGGCATGTCTCCAACTCCCAAACTCAGGTGATCCGCTTGCCTCAACCTGCCAAAGTGCTGTGATTACAGGCATGAGCCACTGGGAACGTTTTCTAGTTTGAGTAGAAAACTGGAAATAAGTAAACAATTTAGGCAAATAATAAATATAGTACTTTACAAAAATATTTGAAAAGTTCATCGTTCTTAGGTCCTTTCTTGCTTCCTTTGCAACTTTCTAGCTCCGTATTTTTGCCTTACCTTGGTTTTATCTACCAATCTAGAAGAATATCAAAGTTTAGGAAAATGGAGCACTTCATGAGCAGTATATTACTTTTCTTCTTACTGTAAAATATAGGTGTTGTTTTTTGTTGTTGTTGGGTTTATTTATTTATTTGTTTATTTATTTTGGAGACAAGATTTTGCTCCGTTGCCGAGGCTGGCGTGCAGTGGTGCAACCATGCTCACTGTTGCCTCAACTTCCCAGGCTTACACAGTCCTCCCACTGCAGCCTCCTGAGTAGCTGGGACTACAGGTGTGCACCACCACACCTGGCTAGATTTCAAAATTTTTTTGTAGAGACAGGGTCTCATTGTGTTGCCAGGGCTTGTCTTGCACTCCTGGGCCTAAGCAGTCCTGTTTTTGGCCTCCCAAAGTGCTGGGATTACAATCATGAGCCACTGTGCCTGGCCAGGATTTTTTTTTTTAAAGACGAGGTCTCACTATGCTGCCCAGGCTGGTTTCAAACTCCTGGTCTCAAGCAATCCTCCCTCCTCAGCCTCCTAAAGTGCTAGGATTACAGATGTGAGCCACCACATCCAGCCTAGCCAGGATTTTTAATTAAATTTTGTTTTACTATCATGGATTCCACTTATTGTTATTGATGCCATGGATGTTACAAAGGAAGATGATGCCCCTGGTTCATTTCATGCTGCTGTTAAGAAAATAAGTGGGCCAAGTGCGGTGGCTTATGCCTGTAATCCCAGCACTTTGGGAGGCCAAGGCGGGCAGATCACCTGAGGTCAGGAGTGTGAGACCAGCCTGACCAACATGGAGAAACCCCGTCTCTACTAAAAATACTAAATTAGCCAGGCATGGTGGCAGATGCCTGTAATCCCAGCTACTTGGAAGGCTGAGGCAGGAGAATTGCTTGAACCCGGGAGACAGAGGTTGTGGTGAGCCAAGATTGCGCCATTGCAGTCCAGCCTGGGCAACAAGAGTGAAACTCCGTCTCAAAAAAAAAAAAAAAAAAGAAAAGAAAAGAAAGAAAATAAGTGACCTATAATATATTGCAAAAGGCAGTGAAGTCCTAGCTGGGTGCAGTTGCTCATGCCTGTAATCTCAGGACTTTGAGAGGCTGAGGTGGGAGGATTGCTTGAGCTCAGGAGTTCGAGACCAGCCTGGTCAATATAGCAAGACCCTCATCTCTACAAAAAATAAAAAAGGCTGGGTATGGTGGCTCACGCCTGTAATGCCAGCACTTTGGGAGGCCAAGGTATGTGGATCAGCTGAGGTCGGGAGTTCGAGACCAGCCTGGCCAACATGGTAAAACCCCGTCTCTACTAAAAATACAAAAGTTAGCCAGAAGTGGTGGTACATGCCTGTAATCCCAACTACTTGGAAGGCTTAGGCAGGAGAATTGCTTGAACCTGGGAGGCGGAGTTTGCAGTGAGCTAGATGGCGCCACTGCACTCCAGCCTGAGTGAGAAGAGCCAGACTCCTTCTCAAAAAAAAAAAAAAAGAAGAAGAAACAGAAATTAGCCAGGCAAGGAAGATGGCCTGTGTGCCTGTGGTCCCAGCTACTCTAGAGGCTGCACTGGGTGGATTACTTGAACCTAGGAGCTAGAAGGTTGAGGCTGCAGTGAGCCATGATTGTCCCACTCGCACTCAAGCCTGGGCAACAGAGCAAGACCCTGTCTCAAAAAAAAAAAAAAGACAATGAAGTCTTGCATTCCAATGACATGCCACTGTTCTCTTGCACTTTAATAAATGTATGCAAAAGATATATTGATGCTGTATATTTTAACAATTCCGGGAAGACCCAGGG